ATAGAAATCTCTCATAAAAAGCAAACCATAGTTTGAGTACAAACGGATCAACACCGATAGCCGAAAATAGAAGAGAACCACACGCAGGTAGCCCAGAATAACAATAAAACCATAGAGAATCCTTGACAGTTAACCAACAACTGAAACCAAAGACTCATAACAACAATGAAACAACAATCAAGACAAAAATGAAGACTTCCACTGGTCCACAAGGGGAGGGAAAAAGAGTACCAAAAAATGACAAAGAAAATCCTCAAAACAAAATAGAGATTATTAATTTATATAGTATACTTGTTTAATTATGAAATTGTGGAGTGACGACGATTAGACTTCTCACACTGTGATCGCCGAACTCATCTATCCAAGTGATGGAGCCATGCGCCGCAGGTTTTACATACCTCATAATGAATGGTCAAACTATAGTTTCTCTTTTCGTTCATCTTTTGGAAAACCAGGATTTTCTGACAAACTGTAATATTGGTATTCTCAGGGGCTTCAATCTTTACATTGTACTTGGTTGCGTTCTTCCATTGCCGCCGACATATGTGACCGTCCGCTGGAATTTCTTTGTAAACCTCTCGAGTTGCTTCTCGGTGCTAAAAACTGCGATGAAAGATGGGTAATTGAGGTCATAGGATGGGGTCGAGCAACTATAATTCGATTTGACGATTTGTCTTGATCTGCGTCGAGTTGAGATCCATGGAGCATATAAGATTCAGGTAGTCATGTCGGGACAAGTCATAAACCAGACCCGGGTTAAGCGCCCGGTTCGGGTCGACTTGCCCTGCCCCCATGGCAAGCAGGCTGGCAAGCTCGTTAGCGACGAACTCATCCCGTATTCTATTCCCAGTGATGTCTCGTGGGTTAGCTGTTGTCATCATGACCGAGCGTATAGCCGCGGGGCTCCAATCGGGATGCGCGCCTTTTAGAAGTGCTGCAACACCTGAAGCGTGAGGGCATGCCATGGATGTCCCAGAGATAATATTAAAATCACTGAAGAGAGTAAGATTGGGGCGATTAAGGCCGTACTCTGATTTGGCACCCAAGATGCTAACACCAACGACCCTGGGGCCATGAGGTCCGGCTTTAAGATGTCCGGATAGCTTTGGGAGGGACCTCTAGAGGTATATGTGGCCGCGACTGGGGAAGGTTTTGTCCCCAGAAACGTCTGTTGAAAATGGATGCTGGCGACCGGATTCACACCTTTTGTGGCGTAATTAATCAAGGCATGTGCTTGCCCGGAGCTTATCACAACGATGGGGCTAGCATAATATTTTGTGTACTCAAATGTATTGGGATCATCGGATATGATAATGGCACCCGAAGCATTCGAATATGAGACATTGGAAATTTGATGATCAAACACGTACCCTTTCTCGCAAATGACTATCCCTCCCGCGGCCGCCGCGGATAAGTCGGCGCTCGAGTCACAACGAGAGAGTGTTTTATTGTAGATGAAGGGCAATTTGGTCATCGGGCCCTGTTCGGGGAACAATGTCCACCCACGGATTGTCTCTCCATTCCCCAAGGTCAAGGTCCCGCCAAAAGAACGGCCGACTGACCCTGCACCAACGGTCAACACCCACGAGAACCCATTGTGAAGACTCCCGGGCAAAGGGCCACGGTTCCCTGCAGAGGAAGAGACAAACACACCCTTCTCCATGGCTCCGAAAGAAGCTATGGCAACTGGGTCTTCATACAAAGGGACATTGTCGGAGCCCAAGGAGATGGATATGACGTCTACCCCATCGCCCACAGCCGCATCCATCCCGGCAATCGTGTCCGAGGCAGTGGCCCCCTCGTCCTAGAGAACCTTGTACATTGCCACCCGAGCACGAGTTGCGATTCCTTTTGCCTTTCCCGGTGCATACCCGAAAAATGAAGCTCCGGTGACTTCATTCCCGGCAGCGGTCGATGTGGTGTGCGTACCGTGCCCCATGGTATCCCTTCCCGAGTTCATGCTCTGGGTTTTGTTCGGAGATCGTTTAGCTAGAGCGCCCTTATTGAAATATCTTACCCCGATAAGCTTTTTGTTGCACATAGAAAGGTCGAAGTCTTGTCCCGCCTGGCATATGCCATTCCACCTTCTAGGAATCTCGGCCATCCCGTCATCTCTGAAACTCTTGCTTTCGGGCCACACGCCAGAATCGATAACTCCGACGATCATCATTGCCGTAGTTAGAAGCCGGCCACAATCCGGTCGAGTTATTAAGAGATAAAAACTCGGAAGTGTGGGTTGTGTCGGTTCTGACAGGTCTATCGGGGTAGGCGGATATGAATCCGATGGATTTTTTTAGGGTTTCGAGTTCGAGATTCGACAACAACGCGTTGTATCCATGGAGCACGTTGTCATATATGAAGAATAAGCTTAATTCATTATCGGGTTTGTTTGAAGACTTGGGTGGTGGAGGAATACCACTCACGGTGGTTCACAAAAGGCTTGGGCGTGAGAGATTTGTCCATGTGCACAATATAAGTTGATCGCTCTCCTAACACTAATGTAGTACACAAGAGAAGTAAACAAAGAAAATGGATTTTACAAAACCCCATGACTTTCGGATGAATTGTGTGAACTAATTAATTCTAAGGTTAAGTTAAGTGTTAGGATGATCAAGGCAAGTAAACTTATAGCTAGCGAAAAAAAAAAAATTCAATAATTCATTTATTCTTTATTGTCGTTCATATGACTTTGATCAAAATCAACGGTCAAATAATGAGTTTTATTAATATTATTCTATCATGCATGTATCACGTTCAAATATAAGTTAGCAATTTATTTAATTAAATTACATATCCTTTAGATAACTTGATCAACTTTTATGAAAATTGACATATTGGTTGCGACTTAATGGAACGATCTAGAAGAGTTGGCTTGACTGTTGAATATATGAGAAAAATGCCACGGTACATTCAATCTATTGTAGCAAATTAAGGAATATCTAGACAATACAATGTTAAATACAGATACTCAATTATCACAATATTTAATTACGCCAATAAAGTTACAATCGCGTGTTAGAAAATTCAACAAAACTTCCTAATAATTAATTACCTTAAATTTAATTTTTATATTTGTTATTCATTTTTCATATATAACATATCAAATTAACATATATTTACGAATTTTAATTTGATATCTGTATTGCATATATAAAATAAATAAATAAATTTATCTTTATTATAATATTAATCATCTATTAATACTGACTTAAAATTAATAATATTATATAATACGAGCAAACTGTACAAATGAAAAATCTCATTTTATATATAAATAATAATGCAAATTTTTAGAGAGTATTTGAAATATTTAACAAAAATATATTTCTTAAGAATTTTAGTATATTTTCTTAACTAGAACTCATTTAATCACGAGCGTTGTACAAGTAATAATTATTGATAAACATGCAGCTAAGCCAACCAGAATATATTTTTATCATTTCTTGTATTTTTATGATATATATATATATATATTTCATCAGTCATTAAATAAATGTCATTTTAGAGTTTTGGAAAACATCTCTCTCTCACTCACACATGCACTCTTCCATCACTCATAAATTATTACTCTTAATTTTTTTGACTCCTAAATAAGTTATGGTGAAGTTAAAAAAAATTTATAGCAAATAATATAAAGCGACACATAATCTAAAAAGAATGCAGTGCATATTATTTTAAGATATAAAATTTACTATTTTTTTAACTACGTCAAAGTTATTTATTTTTTAATTTATAATAATGTAAATGATAAATATTTTAAATTTTATTTCCAATATAATAATCTAAATGATAGTTCGTGTTGATTTATCATTATAATGTATAACAATAAAAATTATAAATATTTTAATTTTTTTTCTAAGGTAACGATGTACATCATTGTTCGATAGAAGACTTGTTCATTTATCATTATAATTTATAACAATATTATTATAATATTTTATTTTATTTTTAAGTTATAATTTACATTGATAATTCGGCAAATCATCCATTAGTTCATCATCCCTACTAGTAATATATATATATATATATATATATATATTATATATATATTATAAATATTTTTTTATTTGCAAACATAAAATTACTTTGACAGTTTGACACATGACTTATTGGTTTATCATAATTTATAACAATACATAATATAAATATTTTCATATTTATAATCTAATAATTTACATGACAGTTGAACAAATTATTCGTTGATTTATCATTTTAATATCGTATATAATTTTGTTGAAATAATTATTTGCTTATATTTTTATATTTTTTAGCATTAATTTTTTAAGCACATGAGGAATAAACTTACCCATTCTATTGTAGGTTGTTTTATAAATCCATGTTATTATATGAATAAATTGAGAACAAATTTTTATTTTTAAATAAATATTACATAATAAATTTAAGTTTATTTTATATATTGATAATTTAAAAAAATATTTTTCAAGATCGTATAATACTTAATTTAAAAAATTATATGAAGAAAAATTATAATGCTAAGCTTTTGAACGGAAATGCCCTTAATACTTAATAAGAAAAAAAAGACAACAATATGGAAAATAAATATAAGAAAATTCCTCGTTTAAGAAAATAATTTAAATTTCATATTTTTTTCTAATTAGAAAACAATTATTCTTAGAGTGGGTATCTATAACCATATCCATTAATTTATATTTGTTAATTCAAATAAAATTTCAGATTAATGGAGAAATTGAATAATTGATTGTAATATTTAAAAATTTTAATTTCAGATTATTTAAATAGAAATGAAAGTAGATTTGGTTGAAATAAAGATTAATTTTGTAAAAAAAATTAATAAATAGATTTAAATTAACCATTGATATCACATTACCTAAATTAAAAATAAAAGGCTCACTAGTAAAGAAAAAATACAAAAATGAAAAAAAAAAATAATGTTTAGAAAATTTCATATTAAGTGAGATATAACTTTTTTTGTT